CCCCAGTGGAGGTTGTTGTCCTCCAGTGGAGGTTGTTGTCCTCCAGCGGAGGTGGCTGTCCTCCAGCGGAGGTGGTTGTCCTCCAATGGAGGTGGTTGTCCTCCAGCAGAGGTTGTTGCCCTCCAGTGGAGGTGGTTGTCCTCCAATGGACGTTGCTGTCCTCCAATGGAGGTTGTTGTCCCCCAATGGAGGTGGTTGCCCTCCAGCAGAGGTTGTTGTCCTCCAACGGAGGTTGTTGTCCTCCAGCAGAGGTGGTTGTCCTCCAATGGAGGTTGTTGCCCTCCAACGGAGGTTGTTGCCCTCCAATGGAGGTGGTTGCCACATGGAGGTTGACCGGGTGTATTTCGGGCAGGTGAACAACAACGGCGTGATCTCCTTCGGCACCCGCGTCAACCAGTACAACCCCGACCCCTTCCCATTGGCCGACGGGCGCCCCTTCGTTGCCCCGTACTGGGCGGACGTCAACAACGTCCTAGGAGGGGACGTCTTCTACCGAGAGACCACCGACCCGGCGCTGCTGACCCGCATCACCAGGGACATCAACCAATACTTCCCCCAGACCTCCTTCACCGCCACCTGGGCTTTTGTGGCCACCTGGGACCACGTGGCCTACTACGGCTCTACCTCCACCAAGGTAAGGTCCAAATTGTCACCGTCTGGGGGTGAAAAATCCCTTTATCCCGCCCCGACTCGGTGTAGGGACGAGCGCGCGGCCACGGGACAAAGGGTTTTTAGAGAGCGAAGCGAATCGTGGCCTCAAATCCACGCGGTGGCCTCACAAACCACCCCACTCACGTTGTCCTCACGACCCATTTGTTGGACCTGCAACCTTTTTGGTGGCCTTTACGGTCGCTCCGTTGGTCTTCGTGACCTTCTCGTTGGCCTTTGCAACCCATTTGTTGACCTCGCGAGCCGTTCGTTGGCCTTCCAACCTCTTTGGTGGCCTTTGGTGACCCCTTTCCCTTTCCCTTTGTGGCCTACACGTCCCATTTGTGGGGTCTCTCCCACCTCACCACACCGTTCCTCTGAGTAGAGAAAGAGGCTGTGGTAGGGCACCGAAAGTCTGACTGTAGACCCCAAAAACCAGCGCGGATTGGGCCACGCCTGGCCAAGATGGCTTCCTCGCACAGCTTTGGGCAAGGAGTCTACATCTTGTAGTAAATCCCCTCCGTAGCTGCTCATTCAGCCCCGATGATGTCATCTCCTCGCTTCCTTTCGGCAGGGGAACACCTTCCAAGCCGCCCTCACCACCGACACCAAGACGTCCTTCATCGTCCTCAACTACGGGGACATCCAATGGACCACGGGGGAGGCAAGCGGAGGTGACCCCGAAACCGGTCTCGGTGGCACCCCGGCCCATGTACGTGGGGTTGAGGGACACTGGGAGGGGGATGGGATGATGGGAGGTGAGGAATTGGGGAGGAGGTTGGACTAAAATGAGGGTTTTTTTCTGGGACAACAATGAGTTTGCCAAAGGTAGGACTTTGGTCCGTGAAGTTTTTGGGGGAAACAAGACTGAAAGGAGGACTTGGGCCCATGTTTTTGGGGAAAGCAACACTGAA